TCTCTGTTTAAATGAGTTTGGCTTTTTTAGATTCCACACTTAAGTGAGATCACACAGTATTTGTCTGTTTGACTTATCTCACTTAGCATAATACCCTCTAGGTCTATCCGTGTTGTCACAAATAGCAGGATTACATTCTTTGTCATGGCTGAATAATGTACAGTATACCACATCTTCTTTATCCATTCTTCTGTTGATGGGTGCGTAGGTTGTTTTCATATTTTGGCTATTGTTAATAATGTTGCAATAAGCAGGGGAGTACAGATATCTTTTCAATATCATGTTTTCATTTCCTTTGTGGTAGTTTTAATTTTAATTTTTTACAGTACTCCCATACCATTCCATAGTGGCTGAACAAATTTACATTTTCACCAGCAGTGCATAAGAATGTTTTGGACATGACACCAAAGGCACAGCAACAAAACCAAAATCAAACAAATAGGAATCCATAGAACTACAAAGCTTCTATAAATCAAGAGACGCAATCAACAAAATAAAAAGGAGACCTGTGGAAAGGGACAAAACATTTGCAAACCATATATTGGATAAGACATTAAAAGCTCAAATATATAAAAACTCATACAACTCAATAACTTAAAAAAAATCATTAAAAATGGGCAGAGGAATTGAACATTTTTTTTTCAAAGAAGACATACAAACAGTACATGAAAAGATGCTCGCTATCACTAATCATCAGAGAAATGCAAATCAAAACCACAATGAGATATCACCTCATACCTATTAGAATGGCTATCATCAACAGTACAAGAAATAGCAAGTGTTGGTGAGGACGTGGAGCAAATGGACCCTCTAGCAATTATATAGAATTACATAGAACTCTGAAATTGAAAAGCTGGAAAGAAACTTAAAAGTCACTGAGTTTAGCGGCCATGCTTTACAGAGGAGGAAACTGGGACTCAGGCTCAAAGGTGTTATAGTATTTGCCCAATAAATTATCTTTCCAAAACGTGAGCACCTCCAAGGTTACAGTCCAGGCTCTTTGACTCCTGATAAGGATTTTCCTCTCATATCATGCTGTCATTCAGAATGATTTTTATCAGGGATTTTTTTTTTAAAACCTCATTTGTATAAGACCCTTAACACCTGGTATGGACATTTTAGAATTTCATTGTTCAATAGGGCATTTCATTGCAGAGATTTCAGATTCCTTTTCTACACTTTCACCATCTATCTTTCCAAAGTAATGTACCTGAAAAGGTCTAGCCTAGGACTAGGATATCCACTCAGGTTATCACTGCAACCCTGCAGATAATAGCAGAAAAGCTTTTTCTCTGGCTTACTAAAGTAGGGATGTTGATTTAGTCATTTGCATTATGGAACACCTAGAACGTCTGTTTTTCCTTACTGACCATTGTCATCAGCTAAAGAGTCTTAGAACAATTCATAACTTAGTAATAAAAATCTATTTCCTTGGTGACCAAAAGAAATAGAGGGTGGGGCATGTGAAAATCCAATTCAATTTGAGGCACTTAGCCTAATCATAAATATTTTTAAGTAGCAAAGATATTGTCAGAGTGTTCTAGACACTAAATATAGGAGAAAAGGCTATGAGCTTGTACTGAAAATAGGGGGTTTTGGTTAGAGGAAAAATTAAAACTTAAAAAAATAATGACATTTTTTTCTCTAACTTCTTTTTTCCATGTCTCCCCCTTTTCTGTGAAAATCCCTTTAAGCAACTTAGAAAAGCAGAACTTCTAAAGTGAAGAACTTGGTTGTTCCTTGAACCTGTGGGTAGGGTGACAGTCATGAGAAAGCCCTTTGAAACACTGCTTCCTCTGTTCTGTCTAGGGGGTGATTCTTCAAATCCAGGGGAAGTGAGTTGATTCTCCCTTCATGTTTTGTTTGGTGGGTGGGTGAGCACTGCTCTGTGAGTGTGTGTGTGTGTGTGTGTGTGTGTGTGTGTGTGTGTGTGTGTGTGTCTTTAAATTTATCTTATTTTAATTTAAATATTTGAAAGCTTGGAGCTTTATACCATCAACCAATATTTGTGTACAGTAGTAACATATGCCAAGCTAGTTTCTCCCAACCTTTGACATTTGAGGGGATTGTTTTATATTGTCATAGTCCTGAGTAATAACTGTTATTCTTTGCGTATTACTGATCCTTAATTTCCACTTTATATAAACATATATATTTTGGCTTAATTAAAAAATTTGCATTAACCTTTTCACATTATAAATTTAATCAATATTAACCAAATTGGTTAAATTAAGAATTAAAACTTTTATTAGTTAATTGTTCATTTGTATCTGTAATATAGTTATCAGTCATAATAGTACTCTTATCAAAGCAATTATGCATTTCTCAGACAATTAAAAAATACTGGGAGTAAATAGGGAATGTATTAAACATGGTTTCTGCTCTCAAAAGTTACATAGAGTAATTGAAATCATCTTAGTAGCAATATTTTAGCCAGAATCTCAACATTATTGAAATTAGATCTTTAAAATAAGAATAAAACCAGTGTTGACCCAAGCCTGCCACAGACATTTCTGCTGATTATGCTCTATAAAAATCCACCCCACCCCCTGCTCCCCACTCTCCCCACTCCCCGTGTGCAAAAGGAGCTCTATACCTACAAAGCTATGAGCCCCAGCAGGGGTTGTGCCTGCTCCAGAGAACGGGGTCCTTTTTCTAATTTACAGAGCAGCTTCTGCTTTTCAAGCCATGTGCCCACAGGATGGCTGAGAGAGGGAACCTTTTTGAATTGGACACAATTGAGATATATGAGACAATGATGGCCCTGTTCTTGAGGAAGGTTTCATGGATGAATTGGGTTTCAAGAAAGGCCATTATAAATGGAAAAGATTTATTATGTGGATCACAGGAGGGAGAGTTTGCACATGGGAAAGGGAGCAGCATTTAGCATGGGTAGAAGTACAAGGCCTGAGATGAATATGACATGTGCAGCAGTCAGTGAAGAAAGAGACTAGATTGATTGGAACAAAATGTGCACATCTTTGATGAGTAGAGGATTAGATGGAAGAGGGCAGCAAAGGTCAGATAGTAAGGGCCCTGAGCGCAGGGGAAGGAATTTGGGTTTCATCCCCCAGATGAGAATCACCCTATAGGCATTTGTCCAAATTCATCACATGATCAGTGATAACTTATTTTAGGTAGATTAACCCAGGGTTATTGCAGCATAGACTAAAAAGAGTAAGTGAAGATTAAAGGCAAGGAGACAAAGTTCGGGGCTGCTGTATATAATACATGGTTTTTCAGTATCTAGCCCAGGACCTAATGAGGATGAAAAGGAAGAGCTGAAATGATAGTATTTTTATTATAACAAATATTATTTTTACCTGATCTCCAAGAAGAATCCATGTGTATTATAGAACATGTTGAAAATATGGATATGTAAAAGGAAGAAAATTAAAATCACCCATTCTCATTTAAATCACTGATGAACACTCTCAGCATGCTAGGGATTGTTGATCTTTTCCTTTTGTTTTGTTTCAATTTATGTATGTTGACATGATGGTATATTTACACTACATTTATGTAGCTTTTTTTTTTGGTCCTTTATACTACATAGTAGGCATTTGTTTTGTTAATAAAAATTCCTAGAGGACCTCATTTTTAATGGAGCACACTATTTAGTTTATTAATACAGTGTAATTAACTGTTTCAAAATTATTTTACATTTAAATTTTTCCCAACTTTTTGTTATTATAAAATACTACTGTAATGAACATCAATCAACATGAATGCTTTATTCCATATCCTTATTCTGCAAAATGTAATGATAATAATAAAACTAATCTTAGCATTTGTTCATTCACTTGTTTTGCCTATTTTGATTTCAGTTCTGCTCTACCATTTCCTACCCTAAAAATTAGGGGCATTCTTACTGAACTTCTATTGAAATTATTGTCTCATTTTGGTGCTTGCCATTGAAAATGATGTGTTTTAATCCATTGCTCTATGTATGGACATTTAGGTTGTTTCTGGTTTTCCTCTATTTCAAACAACACTGCAATGAATATCACTGCACATATTCCCATGTGCACAAATAAAAAGATATAAACCTGAATTACAGGGACATGGGACATATAAATCTTCAACTCTAGTCTCCTATGTAAACTAAAGTGGTTGGACCGATTTATACTCACTTCTGCAGGCAGAGAAATTTCAATTTACTCACATCGTTGGCAGTCCTTTTTTTAAAATGCTTGCCAATCTCATATGTGAAATAATGTCTCCTTTTTTTATATGTGAAATATGCCACTTTTTTTGCATTTCTCTAATAGCTAATGAATTTTAGCATGTTTTTATGTATATTGACCATTCAAGTTTCTTATCTGGAATTTGCCCATTTTCTATTGAGTTATCTCTTTTTGAAGAGTCTGGATACTAATCCTGTGATAGTTATATAGTTTACCAAAGGTTCCCCAGTGTCTGTCTTTCAATCCTGTTTATTAAAACAGTTGTAGGCAAATTTATTAGAGTTATACTTTATAGTTTGGGAGTTTTCTATTTTGATTAACAAGTTCTTCTCCAATATCAAAGGCTTTCCACCTGCATTTTGTTGTAATTCTCTATGAGTTAATTATTTGATATTAAACTTTTAATTCATCGGACACTGATTTGCATAATGACCTAGTTATTTCCCAGACTGAGGAAAACGGAAAGTGGAAAACCAAGAAACAAAGATTTGGTAACCTGCATTATAGTTTCCTATTTAAGTCCGTCGACGAACCATGGAGACATTTTCTTTTTTTATTTAAGCAACAGATATCCACATCCACATGGTTTGTAGTAATGAAAGTGAATGTCTTTCTCATTACCAACACGGAAAATCTACCAGAGTTCATCTACATGAGGTCTTGCAAAGCAATTATTATACTTCTAACTGGAGTTGAATACGATTTCACTTTCCATGTGTTTCCAGCCTTAGTCTACCTAACTTCGTGCTTACGTCCAGAAGGAAAACATTGTCATTTTTAAAATATTTAACACAGGATTCCTTTTACTTTCAGCAATTCACAGAAACTGTGAGCCCTTCAGTGTTACCCCCCTCAGCTTTGCCACTGGACCTGCTTAATAATGCTGTCACTGCCTTTAGTACTTTGGAAGATCTTATTCGTTATCTTGAACCAGATAGATGGCAGTTGGACTTAGAAGATCTCTATAGGCCAACTTGGCAACTTCTTGGCAAGGCTTTTGTTTTTGGAAGAAAATCCAGAGGTAAGCTCTTTCTTCAGATTAGATACCTCATTTCATTCTTTTAGCAGCTGATGTTTCAGATTCCTTTGCCATAGATTCTGATGAGTAGAGTTTTAAATCCTTCAGAGATATATTTAAATAACCAATTTTCATAACATTTGAGCATGTTTACATATTAAATAAGAATATATACAAAGGGAGGCACTTACTTATAACGCGGTGGGTTTACAAAATTAAAAGGGATACTTTTGCTGAACAGTCTTGTCATTTCTTTAGTTCAAAGGTATCATTTTGATGAAGTCCTCTATTTCATTTCACAAGAACCATTGCTTATTTAAACCTAATAGTTGGGGTATATTGATTTAGAGATTCAAGAGAGATTTTCATAGTTGCTAAACCAGGTTTAGGTCTAAAATAGGGAAAGCTCTGTCAAAACCGTTATGTATTATACTATGTCCCCAAAGGTCAGTATTGTATCAATTTCCATTTCCAAAGCCTAGAAACTTTTCTAAATAATATGAAAAATAACAGTGGCTCACCATAAAATAGAACTAGTAGTTTCCAAGATAGGATTCAGAGCAAGAAAATAATGACTAAAGGAACCCACACCAGGATAATGTTTCTCTATGCTAATTTGCTTCTGTAATGATCACTTTTGACCAAACGAGCCTATCTCCCTTCAAGAGTGAAAGTATTGACAATTAAACTTAATTCCACATGGTCAAGACATGGGAAATAATGTTAACGGCGTTTGCTCTGAGTTTTAGCTAATTTCCTAGTAAACATTAGAATCGGAAAGCATCCCTATCAGACATAAATAAAAATGTAACAGAAAAAACTGAATAATATAATACACGGGAAAAAATCTATTTCAGTCTGTTGAAACACTGAAATCTACCCAGCATCACTTTAGAGAATGGAATGACAGTCTGAAAACTGAATATAGCAGGAACAATGTTTAGTGAATTGGAGCAATTCACAAGGGCAGATCGCACCAGACTCGTTCTTCTAAATCTTGTCAGGAAGAAACCCGATCCCTGCCCTTCCCTGCTAGAGCCGCAGCCCTTCTGGAAGACCAGCTTTCATCTCAGCAGGTCATGTCCAGACTTGCCCAACCATGGTATTTGCTATGCCAACAGAGTGGTTTCCTTTCAGCAGTATTTGAAAGCGGTGTTCGAGTACATGGGCAGTGGAATCTTGTCCAGATGCTGAAAGCTGTTACATATTTATAAGATTTGATCTTGATGAATAACTTGATGAATAACTGACGAACAATACTTCCCTTCCCTCCCACTTAGGAATGGGAAAAGGAAGATCTGCAAGGCTAGCAGAAACACCATGAATAGAGCCTTTGTTGGCAAATTTGAAGTAGATTATCATGTTGATCTGTAAAAAGCAGAAGGAGTAAAGCAGGTTCTAAGCTCAGACCTAGCTTTTGGATGGCCCGTCTCGGGATTTGAGCCTAAAAATCTCCCTCCCAGCCAATGCCTTTCATGCCTGTACCTCTCTCCACATGGTGCACAGTGAGGACTGGGCCCTCAGCTAGCGTCCGTTTAAAAGCATCCAGCACTGAACCAGATCTTTCAAATATTCATTTAGCACTTTCCAAATTGAAGCCCTTTGCAGTTTGCCAAAACTATTAACTTTTTAAGCATACAGTAAGTGTGAGAAAAGCAGTGTATATTTTTGGAACTTTACATAAACTAAAATGCAGGTGTGGGATATCATCTATATAGACAAAACCAACTTCCCTCCCAAGAGCCTTTCTACAAAGAAACGAGGAGTAAAACGTTTAAAAGCTTCTAATTAGACATCAAAATAGATTTTCCACAGAATAAACATATCACAGTGTTACCACATTTATCTTAGAAAGACCACCCTCAGATTGCATTACAGTAATAGAATATTCTTGGGCTGAATATCTGAAAAGAATGAACAACTTACACGAAGTAAAATGTGACCCTAACTTTTTTTCAGTCAGTATGACCCTTTTTAGTAAAAGTTTGCAATATTGATAAATCTAAACAAGAAAATTTACATTATAAATAACAGCTTTCATTGGTGACATGCTTAAAACATCCATCCTTCAGAAAGACAAATTAATGCATGTATTGTCTTAGGAGTTAGTTATGAAAAGGAAATAAGGAACCTGAAGGCTGAGTTTTTTTGTTTGTTTGTTTTGTTTTTTGTTTGTTTGTACTTTACAAGTATTTTCCACAATATTATAGTTAAGTTATAAAAAAGTATACGTTGGGGCATGATCTTTCTCTCCCTTTTTTTTTTTTTTTTACCTAGATGGTCTACATAATATTTAAAGAATTTGTGACCCCAATTTATAATCACATGACTTAATTTAATGACGCTTAGATGAATTGGAAGCCTTAGGAGTAGGAAGCATAACTTTCAAATAAGATAAGGCAAATTTAAAGTCCTTGTACTTTTAGCCCAGTGTAGACTGCATTAAGGTTTTTCTGTTTTGTTGTTTTCCCTTTCTTCCTCTGGTTCAGGGTTTTCATTCATACTTTGCTACTACAGAATTTAAAAAAAAAAAAATTTTTTTTTTCTAAGTCAGGCTTAACTAGTACTTAAAAAGGGCTTTTGACTTTTGTGTCAAACATGATAAATGAGTGGAAGCTAAGTTTAAAGCCTGTTTAAATTTTCACATTGTAGCAGGTATCATAACTTAGTTCACTTGGGAAATCTATCTAACCTTTTATTGTGGTTAAGTAAACATTTTAAAGTGAACATATACAGTCTCCTTTTCTACTTTCATGAAATAGTATGTTTAAAACTTTGCGGTAGATGAATATCCTTTCAAAGCTAAGGGCTTCATTCACATTCTAAAGAAGAATAAATCTTAAATAAGCATTGCAAATTTTGACAACTGGCTTTTGCATGTGTGTGTGTGTGTTTTAGGTTTTTTCCCTCCTTATCCAGACAACAACTTCTAGAGAAAAAAAATTCAAATAAGCTCATATATAGCTTTAACAATGAAAGAGCAATATGTACATATACTATTAGTTCAGCAAAATGAAATCAGGTAAAATATGTGATATCACTTAACCTAATTATCTCATTAATTTTATTAGAGATAAATTGGTCTTTTATCGCACTCAAAAGCATGAGCTCATTTCCCTTTAAATATTTAAAAGCTGTAGTTTCACTGGGTTATTTTTCCAATGGAAAAAAAATCTTTAAATGCTCAAATAAAATAGTGATTTTTCTATTGAGTTGGAAAAAATAATTTTCAGCTAAATAAGATGTCGAAATGAATTGATTGAATTAGCATTTCCTTGGTCTTTTCCTAAACTTGACCAAGGTTTCAGTCAACTATATATATTACATGTGCTTATAATTTATGATTGCATATGCATAACTTATAATATATTTCTTGAAAACACATTAGCTCCCTTTGACATTTTAGGAAAACTTGATCACATATACAATGTAACATAGCCAAGAAAACACACATTTGATTCTTAATGGCCTTGTCATTTTAAAATTATTTAAAATATTGGCACTTAGTTTTTAAAACTGAATAATTATCTGAAGCAATCGTTAATCAGAAAGTACTTTTTCTTTTCTTTCAATTCTTGTTTATGTTTCCAATGTTAGTGAAAAATTAACTAGATTTATTATATTTTAGATAATTTTTCTAAATTTTAATAAAACCTTTATTTTTGATGGAAAAAAGCTGTGATGCCTATATGTTATCCAAAACTCTTCAAGTTTATTGGAATTGCTTTTATTTGGACATTCTAATAATAATTCAGTACTGTTTATATGTTATATATAAATTCATATTAAACATTATACATTACTTTGATATAATTTAACTGAGGTAGCATCATTCTGTAGTTAAAAACAATAGTTCTTTGAGAATTTACTGCAACAATCTCATGAAAGGATATTTTGTTTGGTCTTTACAAGTAGGTATTCTTGTAAAGAATAAAGCACAACATGGTTAACCAACTTGTTAAAAGAATAGAGACAATGGTTATAAGTTAGACATTTCTTCCATCCTTTAGAAGAACAGAAATCTGAAAAAATTAAACTAAATTTCAAAGTCCAGAAATTCCTCAGTGCACAAGAAGCAGTGTTTTCCAACATCTGCTCTTTTAAAATGTACCATTTTTTTCACTTCATGGTCCATTCAGCTGTCTTCAGAAATTCATTTTCTTCATTTCCTTTTTACATTTTATGATTCTTATTGCCAGGAAGATTATAAGAAGTTCTGTTGACAAGTTTCTGTACGTTGTTCTTCATTAATTGCATGAGCGTGTAATCATTTTTAAAAATGCATTTATTTTTAATCAAAGCATCCAGCGTTTCACATTCTATTCTTCCCTCCAATGCTCTCCTTTTTTTTTTTTTAAACTTTTTTACTAAGGTTAAAGGTGTAGCCCTCTTTTTCCTTTATAAAGTTTCCTATTTATAGCTCTCAACTGTTTTGTTGGCTCTGTTCGTAATATTGCACAATGGCATTTCTTTATTGGTCACTAAGTCATAATGGAGCTTTGTTTACTATGAAATAGAAAGTCCAACTTGTGTGCAGCCAGCGTAGCCCCCAAAACCTAGTTGAAATACGAAGGGATACTGTTAGGATTATTGTTCATGAAATAGTTAGATGATGGCTTTATGAAAAGAGTTTAACAAAATGCATTCAGGCTCAAAGCATGAACATCTATTTTTCTTTCCTTTCTTTTATGCCATGCAGTGGTGGATCTGAACCTTCTAAAAGAGGAGGTAAGATTATACAGCTGCACACCTCGTAACTTCTCGGTGTCCATAAGGGAAGAACTAAAGAGAACCGATACCATTTTCTGGCCAGGTTGCCTCCTGGTTAAACGCTGTGGTGGAAATTGTGCCTGTTGTCTCCACAATTGCAATGAATGTCAATGTGTCCCAAGCAAAGTTACTAAAAAATATCATGAGGTAGGTATCTCATTTTCTTTTTGGGTTCCTTGGGTGTTTTGTGTCTTAAAAAATAACAAAATAGCATTACCTAAAATGGATTTTTATTTGGAAAGGAGATGTAGCATTCGTGGGGGGGAAAAAAAAAAGTTTACAAAATAGTTCATGTCTTTTTTTTTTTAATTAATACCTTTAGCTCAAAACCCAGACAGTAAGGATTTTGAAAGCATATCCTCTGATAGTACATCATGGGTGGTCAGTAAACATTTCCTCGCTAATAGAAAAAAGAAAAAGGGTTCCTTTGTAGGGTAAAAAAAATGGTAAAACTTCAACTTTTAAACTTTTCAAAACGTGAAGGGAAAGTATTTTAAAGACAAACTTGGAAATAAATTATTATCTATTTTGGAGAAAAGAGATCTTTGATATTTATTTTTCCATTTGGGGTAATGTGAATACATAAATCCCAAGAAGAAATAGTCATAATTACAACAAAATTCCTATTATTCATATTGCCCCCAATAGCATGTTCAATGTTTTTTATGGATTCTTCACCTTTTTATCTCTTTCTTCTATGGAATTAAGGAAAATAGAATATTAAATGTTAGTTAGAATTAAGAAAAATAGAATACTAAATGATAGTAACTATTGTTTTTCAGAGCCTTGGGAACCTTAGAACTTATATACTCCAAAATTTTGGTAGTGCTAGACTCTTCCCAGTTCTATCCCACCCTCTTTCTGAGATCCCCATGTAGCATTCACACATCGAGAAGCAATCTTTGTGGGAATCATTACACTTTTTGTGATCGTCTTTTTGTTAATCATCAAATTACCCTATGAAACAGGTTTCTTTGTTTGGTGTAATTCATAATTTCTGAGGCCTGAGTTTTTCTCAATCTTATATTTGGGAAATTAGCTCTTAGTTGAGTGCTACTCATAAACAAATGAAATTCTTTTTTAAACATAACTGAAAATAGTACTAAAAGCATTAAGTCATTGAACACCATTAATCTAGAGACTTAACGCAGTTAAAGTGAAGGCCATCTTGGGCTTTAATGCTTTTTGAGGATCATTGTTCCCATTTGCAGTTTGAAGATTATTTCACCTCATGGAGAAGCTAGAAGCAAAGACAAAGCCTCATTCTAATGTTTCTCCACTTCATCTGTCTCTGTTACACCAGCTTCCCTGAATATTAAGCTGAATATATTCTTTGTGTTACTACAAATATAACTGAATCATTCCCTCTTTTGGTTTCCACTAGCCTTTCATTGGGTTTTGTTCAAACATTGTATCAAAAATAAGTTTAGGAAATGAAGAGGCTCATAAAATACAAGAATGATATTATTGTCATGTTTCAATGTAATATAATTGTATAATAATAATAAGATTCTTACTACTTTTGTTCAATCACTATATACTGATTGTCAGAAGCCATTTTAGTTAATATATATATATACATATATATATATATATATATTTCTTTAACAATTTTGCTATCTCCCAAATCAAGTTTTCAGAGAATCAAGATGGGAAATGTACATATGTATAAACTTATATAGTACCTCTTCTTAAAACGATTTAGATTCCAGTCAATCCTAGCATAACCACTTCATCCTCTGTGCATGTGTAGGACTTTAAAGATATTTCTATCAGAAAACTTTCACTATTTCATAATTATTGTTTATTTTGATGTGCTTCCCCCAAATTGGGAGCTGAGACAGAACAAAGGTCACATTAGAGTGTAGTGCTTCCGAACAGACTCCAAAGCCAGACACCCAGGGTTTGACTCTGACATTTGTTAGCTGTGTGGCTTTGAGCAAATTACTTAGTCCCTGTGCCTCAATGTCCTCACCTGTAAAGTGAGCTTCGAACCCTCGCAATATCTTATTGTGAGAATTCAAGGAGTGACATTTATAAAACAGTTAGAGAAGGTCTGGCACATTTCAAACCCTTCCTAGTTACGCCCTCACTTACCTTTATCCTCCCCCCCACCCCTGCCCGCTTACCCTTATTCTTCAATTATGGCAAATGACCAATAAAGATTTAATGAACTTTGCCCAGAGGTGAGAAGGGTATTCTCTTTCTGGCAAAAAGATTTATAGGATATTCTGTCAATAGAAATGTATCTGTTCCTTTTTTTTCATTCTTAATCAGCCCAATGATTTTCACCTTGTTTACATCTTAATATATTTAACTTCACTTTTTCATTAAGTGTAGTCTTATTTTTCTTGCATAGATTTGTTTGTTTGGAGGGGGGAAAGGATGTTCCCATTCAGTTGACTTATTCAAGCAATGAGTTCCATCCTCCAAGGTTCTATGGCACCCAAACTTTTCAGGGCACTTTGCACATTTTGGGCAATGGTACATGTGTATCTATTCCTTGATGATTCTTTTTGTACCTGATCTATTATTTTTCACAATCTCTGGTTTTAGGAATTACCTGGATAATTTTTTCATTGACTTTTAGTTTTAGTTTGAACATCTCCCTCAAAATTTTGTGAGATGTGCTTCTATCTGGCTTCTTTTGTGATGTCATAAACTAGGTCCTGAAAACCAAATTATCATCTTTAATATCATCCAGGACCTGCTGGGCATTTTACAAGTTTATCTTTCTCTTCTAAAACTAAAACTTTCAAATAGGATCAAGAAGGAAAACAATAATGATACCTCTACTACCATGTATTAGAATCTGTTTCCAAGACTTTAGTATCAGTGGAACATAGGAAATTCTTCTGCTAGTTGTAAATCCTCATAAACTTCAGTGGACAAAATGGGGGTGGGGGGTGGAGGAATGAGGGTGGGGAGGTTGAGAAGAGGGCTTTTATTTGGAGAGTGCATCTTGACCCTAAGCACTGCTACAGGAAGGAAGGATTGTGGGATTGTGGTCTGGCATGACTGACTGTTAGGACTACATAAGGTGATCTTTCATAGTAATTTTTTTCCCCTCTGACAACTGGGAAAATGTACACAAGTAGAGAGAGGAATTAAAGACATTGGCTATGTCAATATTTCAATTTTTCTGTCCACCTAACTTCATTCCAGAAACAACTCGTAACAAGAGAGTGATGATAAGATATGATATAACACCAGTATCTTAGGATTAGTTAATTTTGATGCCACCTTAAGTTGCACAAAAACAGTAAGTCAGTACTGATACATAAAAATACATGTAATAGTCATTGGGTTAAATTTCACATTAAAATAATATATTTTTAGTAATTTTTATTCTAGAATTATGAAATGTAATAGAAAAATCTAATTTAAAAGTTGACTATCATAGTTATTACAAGACTTTGCAGCTTATGTCTCCACAAAGAAAGGTATTAAATAAAAAGAATGGATGACTGGTAATATTCTGAGCCTGTGTAAAATTTTTATCTATCGCTCTAATTTTACTAATTCATATTTGGCCAAAGTACACATACTGTCTGTGTCACTTATTCTCTCTAAGCTTCTATTTCACCCATCTGTAAAATAAGGGTAATAATTGTAAATTACTTCATAGAATTCTTCTGAGTTAAAGTATGTAAAAGTGGTATTCAGTGACTGGCACCCATAAGCACTCAAAAAATGTTAGCTAATTAACCTTTGATATGACCACAGTCTCCAAATGAGGAATACATCCTCTGTTTTTTTGTTTGTTTTAATCTTCAAGTAGAACAGTCATAAGACTTGCCTTGTGGTTTTTGGATTAATGAAAATTTCCAAGAACTTTTAGAAGTTGCTTTATGAAGTTATCTGTGTGATACCCAGGGAGCAGAGAAACTAGACAACTTCATGTTGTTATGTGCTTTAGGCTTTGTTCATAATCCAAACAAACATAATTTCTAAAACTATCATTTCTGTGATAAGAAATAAAATATAATACACATTGAATAGGTAGGTCTTATCAAGTACATCCGATAATCTTTTCTAGAATGCATATCTGTGTCCTTTTGTCACAGTGTTAAAAGGAAGTCTGTGTAGTGTGTCTATTTTGCTATATATTTTATTTAAAACTCCAGCAATCCAAACTGCAAATACCTTCATTACATAGAGACATTATTGTTATTATTGCCAAACTTCCGGACACTGCACAGTAGGCCCCAGCTGCAGAAAGCTGTGACAGAGGCTGATGTCTATGAAGCACATCTAATCCATCTCATCAAGTTTATAGAGGACTTGAAGTGGAGCCAAGAAAATTAATGAGTGGCATAATTGAGCAAACTCAGCTGTAGAACGATCATGTTTCTTTTCACAGTATCACAGCACTTGCATGTATCGCTTCAAGTATAAATATTTGCTAAATGTGTGAATAAATGAATGAGTGAAAGAAACTAACCAACAGAAAAAGGAATAGGGCAGTAGCGGTTCCAAAATACTTAGTCAAGGTGAAATTCTCTCTAGCATGGTTAGATGGGTAAAAGAAAGGGTGTATAGTGAGTCTTTCAATGTAAGGACTGTTTGTTAAATTGAAAGAGATAGCATCCTTCCAAATTGTTGGTATTTAACATATCCTTTCTTTCAAGGAATAGTAATCATTTATGACTTTTATTTTTATTATTTTTTTAAATTTATGTATGTATTTTTTGAGGAATGGGAGAATGTATCTGTAATGCTGTCAGTCAGGAAAAATTAAAAATTTGGACACCTTTGTTGGGCTCCTCCCCAGTTTGTTTTCTGAAATTTTACTTGTCTGTGACATCATGAGTCCTAGAGGTCCTTTTGTTTGAAAGGTAAAGATTTCCCTGATTCCCTTTCAGGTCCTTCAGTTGCGACCAAAGATTGGTGTCAGGGGATTGCACAAATCTCTCACCGACGTGGCCTTGGAGCACCATGAGGAGTGCGACTGTGTGTGCAGAGGGAACCCCGGAGGATAACCACGTCACCCCACGCAGCCGCCTCCCAGAGCCGGCCAGCTCAGCGGCTGATTCCCTTGTAGGACTTGCGCGTTATCTCCGTCCATAATCTCAGTTGTTTGCTTCAGAGACCTTTCATCCTTCAGGATTTACAGTATGTTCTGAAAGAGGAGACACCAAGCGGAATTAGGAGTTGTGCAACAGCTCTCCTGCGAGGAGGCCCCAGTGACAGGAGGAAAGGTCTCCGGGCGTGGAAAAAAATATATTAAATGTTGTAGATCACTAGCTAGTTACAGAGTTGTCATGTACTTAGCTAGCTGTGTTCAATATTTCAGTTGTCTTGATGGGACTTAGGTTAATTCAGTACAGGGGGAAAAAAAACAACAAAAAAACAAAACTGCGCACAAGGGAGCACCTAATTCTGTTGCCTTGCTTAACTCTCAAGCTCCATGTTTTGGGCCTAAAATCAGAGAAATCTGGATTTTTTCCCCCTTATATTCACATATATAAACCAGAGTGTTCTATGGTCTACAAACTTGGTTTTAAAAAGGAACTATGATTCTCTAAATCAAACGTGTGTCATGCTGATAGGAAAGACTGGATTTTCCGTATTTCTTATTCAAATTTCTACCATTTAGAAGAAGAGAACTACATTCATGGTTTGGAAGAGACAAACCTGAAAAGAAGAGTGGCCTTATCTCCAGTTTATCTATAAGTGGGTTTACTGTATTGTGTACATTTTTATATTCTCCTTTTGCCATTATAACTGTTTGCTTTTCTAATCTTGTTAAATATATCTATTTTTACCAAAGGTATTTAATATTCTTTTTTTATGACAACCTAGATCAACTATTTTTAGCTTGGTAAATTTTTTTTCTAAACAGAATGGTTATAGCCAGAGGAACAAAGATGATATAAAATATTGTTGCTCTGACAAAAATACATGTATTTCATTCTTGTATGGTGCTAGAGCTTAGAGTAATGTGCATTTAAAAAATACTGAGGTGGGAAATCAATAGAATTTGGTAAGTTGCAAATCTTTTTGGAAATAAATGATCATATCCTCCACTCCTGTTATTGGAGATGCAAATAGAAAGTGACATATGAAAATAGGCCTTCAGATCCAGCCATTACTAACCCCCTAACCCTTATTTTGGGAAATGTGAGCCTAGCTCAGAAGAACATAAAGCACCTTGAAAAAAGAGACTTCACAGCTTCCTGACAAAGTGTGCTCTGCTGTCCTGTTGGAACACATCCTATTTATTGTGATGTCCTGGTTTTATTATCTTTAAACTCTGTTCCACACACTTGTATAAATACATGGATATTTGTATGTACAGAAGTATATCCTTTTTAACCGATTCACTTATTGTACTCTTTGGCAATTGAAAAGGAAATCAGTAAAATACTGTGCTTGTAAAATGCTTAATATTGTGCCTAGGTGATGTGGTGACTATTTGAGTTAAAAATGTATTGAATCACCAAATAAAAGAATGCGGCTATTTTGGGGAGAAACTGAGTGTGTGTGTGCGCGAGATTTGTCTCTTGAACTCCCACGGAAAGGAACGTGATGAAGTTTTGTGTTGCCATCCATGGATTTCCACCATGTAACAGCTGATGTCAGTTTAAAAGACAGGTTAGAGAAGTGGAGGTGTCTGTTGAGACTTTCCTGCCTCTTGTCTCCAAGTGCTTTTGAGCAATCGTTTTCTTTTTCTCACTGGTCCTGATACTAATTTCTGGTAAATTAAATTGCAAATAACTTGGAAGTTGCTACATGATTTAGGAAGATGCTTAATGATAGTTGTAGGGTAGTATAAAACTGGAGGAAAATTACCTGTAACTTTCCACTCCTGGATTCATTTTCAATGCCGAATGCTAAGTGGGATGAATGAGCATAAACTGATTTGGCATATGGATGAATGGCTTTTACATAACAAACTTCAAGGTGCGGCTCCACGATTTTAGAAGCAGATGTCTATTCAGTGCCGTTATCTTATCTCTGCCTTTTCAACTTGCCTGAGACATCTAGGGCCCAGAGCCATGCTTCTAAACCTCTTCTAAACAGTACCCCTTTTCCATACTTGTCCATCTGGCAGTCCTACCTTGTGCCAAACCACATGAAAAACAACAACAGAAATGACATGAACATCTGTGTTCTCTTATTGACTTACCTTTTCAGAGTTTTGTCCCAGCCTTACCAAGGCTGCTGGATACAGCTTAACATTGCTCCACTGACAATGCCATACTGTATGTCTCCCTCTTGGCAATTTACAACTCTCAGTAGCATAGTAAAGGCTCTATTAAATCTTACAGGAAATGCTCTGTGTAACTGTGTTTAAACCAGCATTTCCAACTGTTGAATGGGGCACCTCCTGTCCCTTTTGTTTTTTCATATTTATTTTTTTGTTTCCTTTAACATGTTCAAAGGTGAAAGAAATTGCTCTGTAAAGGTAGCAATCCCTCATGTTGTTGCCAGTCAGTGAGTGGGAGGCTTGGAGACCTAACTGCTGCTTAATACTTGCTCATAGCTCTTCCTGTGCATTTTACGGGGAAAAAAATAATAATAATAAAAAAATAAAACACACAAAAAAATAGCCCATTAATGGCAATAGAGACCATCATTTCTCAGAATTCCAAAAAGGACTGATCATGTTAACCACAAATGGTTTTGTATCTGTGATGTGTGCCTTTTCCCCCTGGGAGATGGGCTGTTTTTCTAGTGATTTTATTAAAATAAGACAGCAAGCTTAGTTGACCTCAGACAGGCTTTTATGTGTACATTTTTCATTTCTACATCTCATTGCCTTTCTCATCTAATAATCATCGTATGAATTGTGAAAAGGTACAAATAACAATGAAATGAGAATCAACACTGTGAAAGCACCACTCACTCCAGGGGCATTTACACAGGCTTATGACTGGGTTTAAGGAAAGGCAGAACATACAAGCCTTACTTAATATTGTTTAATATATACAATACACTTACTATTATGTAATGGCATTATCTCCAAAAGGATTGTGATACATCTATTTTAATTATTTATTATAAATGCATTTAAAACATAAATGCCACTATCCTTTACATTCATAAGTAGGAGTATGAAAATTGAAAATGTAATAGATCAGTTGCTTTATATCCTGTTTTCCCTTCAAGTTTCATATGTAAATAACCAGCAAGTCACACTGACTTGGCTTTTTCACTTTCTCTTTTATGTGTGTCTATCTCTCCATTTCTGTAGCTCTACCTGACCTGATTTAGGCCCTTGTGTCTCACCCCCGTTATACTGCAGTAACGTTTTTCCAGTCTTCCTGCCTATTGTCTCACTACCGCTGATCCAACCTTCACACTATTAACAGAAAGGTCCTTCAAACAAATCCGATCATGTCAGTTGGGTGGAAATTTTACAATGGAACTCCTCAAAATCAAATGTTAATTCTTTGCCTGGCACTCAAAATCCTTTATAATCTCATTCCTGCTCATTTTGAACCATCAAGCCTAATACACAGCTCTGGTGATACGGTTTCCTGAAAATAGCCGTATTCTCTCACATCTCTGCTGTCACATGCTGTGTTCTCTCTGGAGCACTGTTCCTACACTTGCCTACGCATTCACTTTCTCTCTAGTCTCAGCTCAACTGCTGTCCTCGGCGCAGCTTTTCTTCCTTAATTCCCACCAGCAGCCTTAGGCGCCATTGCTCCTGTGCTTCTAGAAATATATTTCACTTATAATCATCGTTATATTGTATTATAATCATCAGCCCTCATTTTGATTTCTCATTAGACTTCTAGTCTGATGAAATAAATGATGTAAAAAAATACGTAGCACTGAATTTGACATCAGGAACCCTGGAGTACCAAAATACCTCTGAACATCAGCCACCTAATCTGTAAAACGAAGGAGTTAGTCAGTGAGAGCTGGGTCCTTTTTAATTCTAATCAGTTCAATCTACTGGTTATGTTGGGGCACCTGCCAACATGACAAAAGAATATCTGTTCCATGTGATGTGATACAATTATTTTCCTCTTTATCAATGCTTTGAAACTGAATGTTTGGCTTTCCAGTTAATGATTATCCTACCAATCCTATCTCATATATCACATCTTTTCAAAGTTAAAGAGAGTTACTAATGCATTTATGTGTTAGTCATATTTTGGATAGTTGTTTAATAGGACGATTTAAATTTTTTAAGCAGAATTTAAAAGTTTAAAATGTGAGCATATAGACATATCAGTAATTGATGATGCATAATCTCTTCATCATTTACCTGTTGACTCATTTTGCATCATCACCCCTAACATAGAGTTCTAGTGACTACTCATAGTTTCCTGAAAACACCAATCCAGTACTCCCGCTCATCCCTGTGCCAGCACATGCTGTGTTCTCTTCGTGGAGTGATGTTTCTACAGTTATCTATTATAATCATTTCCTCTCATGTCTATTAAATTGTTAATTATATCCTTTTGTGCTCTGCCTCAGAGAGCATTTGCCATGCCACCTACATCAAATCCAATTTCTTTCATAACTTCTAAGCCACTGCAGTAAATCTTAGTCAGTATGAATCTATATAAAGTTTAAGGAAGAGATTTAGTATTTGGGTAGGCAGTATATCTTTGAAGATCAATAACTTTTATCATTTAAAATATCAAACATGGCATTCCAAATGGCTTTTTTTTTTTGGAGAAATTGCAACGGTGATCCTAAAATTCATACAGAAATAAAATAGCTAAAACAGCCAAAAAAATCTTGAAAAAGAACTACAAAGTTGGAGGGCTCACAATCCCCAATGTCAAAATTTACTACACAGCTATAAAAATTGTGTGGTAAGGTTCATAAGTTTAGACACATAGAGCAATGGAATAGAATTGAGAGTCCAGAAATAAACCCTTACATTTGTGTTCAATTTATTTTGACAAGAGAACCAAGAAAATTAATGGCAAAAAAAGTATCCTTTTCAACAAGGGATGCTAGGACAATGATATCCACATGCAAAAGAATAAATTGGGACCCTTTCCTCACACCATATACAAAAATTAACTCAAAATGAATCAAAGATCTAAATATAAAAGATAAAACTCTAAACTGTTAAAGAGACATTAGGAGAAAATTCTGAATACCTTAATCTAGGTTACTATTTCTCAATAGGACACCAAAAGCACAAGTAACAAAAGAAAAAACAAAGATAAATGAGACATCAAAATTAAAAACTCTTGTACTTTAAGGACACCACGAGAAAATCAAAAGATAACCCACATAATGAGAAAAAATACTTGCAATTCAAGATCTGATTAGGGCCTTATATCTAGAATATACAAAGAACTCTTACAATGCAACAATAAAAAGATAATTAACTCAATTGAAAAATGAGCTAAGGCCTCAAGTGTGCTTGCACAGATGGGTTTCCTCTTCTTGACTCCTGCCATCATCATGAGAATATGCTCTAGAATGTTCACTGGTCCCAAAAGACACCTGGTGCAGATCTGAACCCAAATGATTACTTGAAGTCAATTTCTGCTGAGTCCAGGGAACCCACAGATGCTTGGGTGAGAAATGAATGAATCCTGTAAGCTGCTGTGATTTTGAGAGTGTTTGTTGTGGGGCATTATTTGGCAATGGTTGACTAATACGTTTCATTTCCTTTAAAATGAGGCCATATCATGCATGCTTTTCTTTCGTGAAACTTTTCACATCACGTGAAACATATATACTTTCACCTGAAACTGAAGGACAAAATAGTAAAATGCAACAGGAGAAAATGTACTGTGGAAAATGTTGCATCAACACAAGATAGTAACTTCCTAAGCAATCTCCCTAAAGTTGTGGAAAAAATGTTATTGAAAACATGAAAAGCGTGGAATCATTTGTTAAGCACTTGCTTTATTTCAGTCAGTATCTATTGATTTATTTTTAAGAAAAAAGAGGAAATAAGCTCTCTGATCATTTAGCCCACCTCTTCAACAACCATGTCATCTTCGTTCATTATATTACTTATTTTGTGTTTCAATAAACATTTAACTAATACAGAAACATTAAAATATTTAATGCAAATGTCTTCTGTTTATATTTTAGTAAACCCTTTTTTTAACATGAAGTACTTTGGATAATTTTCTTTTGTTCTTTGTTATTTTTCTTTCCAAACTTTGTTTTTTTTTTCTCTCTCTCTCTTCCCCTCCCCCTCCATGCCTCCCTCTCTCCCCCTCCTCTCTTTCCTCTCCTCTCCTCCCTTTCTTCCTCTTTCTTTTTTTAACATAAGGTTATTTGCCTAATTCCATGGTTTTAATTTTTTTTTTCTGATCATTTCCATAATGCATGGTTTGTGTCTAGACTACTGTTTAATGTGGGAAGGGTGAATTCTTGATTCCCTCTTTACTTTTCTAAAATGAGTTTGCCAAACAGAACTACAGTGTGAAAATTAGATATTACATTCTGTTTAATTTTCTATTTCTTTGGAGGAAGGAGGTTGAGAACACTTGGAGGAATGTGCAATCTTTGAGGAAAGAATTCTGCTCAGTTCTCTTGCA